GACTCTTGAAATTAAAGAGAGTGAGCTATTAGAAACAGTGAACTCCTAGACAGAAATAATTTAGAGTATGTGATAGTAAGCACACCTGTCAAAGCTCTCTCCGTTGAAGAAAATGTAATGAAGAGGACTCTCTGAAAGAAATTAGAGCACATGCACACAACAATTCAAAATCAATCAACATTATTATTACAAAACCTGAGAGTATAATTAAAAGAACGCTTGTGCTTGGAATACTTGTCACAGAGAATTTTAACTTCCTAAGAAAATGGATGAGACACTACAGTGTTTTGAAGTGATACTTCCTTCTGATCATCAGAACAGGCGCAAACGAAGAATATTTAAAATTGAAAGCTCTTATGTAGTTCTTACTGTGTTTTGGGCATTTCAAGTGGATTCATTTTCCAAGTAGAAAATATTCAGCATCTACTTAGAATGCCTTATTTTATAGAAGAATAAACTGAAGCAGAAAGAAGATACATACTTTTCTTCATGTCACATGGCTAGTAAATGGAGGAAAGGGGGATTCAAACACAAGAATTTGGGGATGGGATTCCTTTTAACCATTTATAAACTATTATATCTAAAATTTAAAATATAAGTTCATTAAAATGGAAGAGGAAAAAGACTTCCTCAGGAATAGTTTTAACTTCTTAGAAGACTTACGCTTCTCATATGAAAGAAAGAGGAGGTTCTCGGCCGGGTGTGGTGGCTCACGCCTGTAATCTCTGCACTCTGGGAATCTGAGGCAGGTGGATCACTTGAGCTCAGGAGTTTGAGACCAGCCTGGGCAACATGGTGAAACCCCATTGCTACTAAAAATACGAAAAATTAGCTGGGGATTGGTGGTGCATGCCTGTGGTCCCAGCTACTCGGGAGGCTGATGTGGGAAAATCACTTGAGCCTGGGAGGCAGGGGTTACAGTAGCAAAGATCATGCTACTGCACTCCAGCCTAGGTGACAGAGTGAGACCTCACCTCCAATTTTAAAAAGAAAGGAAGGAAGGAAGGAAGGAAGGAAGGAAGGAAGGAAGGAAGGAAGAAATGGAAGAGGAAAAAGACTTCAGAATAGTTTTTAACTCTCTTATGTTCTACGCCTCTAGCATGAAAGAAAGAGGAGTGGGCTCTTTGGCCGTGGAGGGTGGTGGGGGTTCACGCCTGCAACTTACTCTGGGAATCTGGAGGCAGGTGGGATCACTTGGAGCTCAGAGTTGAGAGACCAGCCTGGGGCAAAAATATGGTGAAACCCCAATAAGCACAAAAAGACAGAAAAATTATTGGGGATTAGTGTGCAATGCCTGTATCCTAGCCACTGGGAGGCTGGATGTGGGAAAATCACTTGAGCCTGGAGGCAGGGGGTTACAGCAGCAAAGACCATGCTACTGCACCCAGCCCAGGTGACAGAGTGAGACCACTCCACCTAAAAACAAAGAATGGGGCTAAATAATGGGAAGGAAGAAGAAGGTAATAATAGTTAGTATTGGTTGAAGGTAAAGAATAAAACAAGGAAGGAAGGAAGGAAGGAAGGAAGGAAGGAAGGAAGGAAGGAAGAAAAGAAGGAGAGGTTCTCATATCTGGGAAAGATAAATTTTAGAGGGAAGAGGAAATGCACTCAGAGTCAACTGCTCTCAAAGGTTTATTAGAAGAGATTTATTTTAGTTGTTACTAAGGCAGGCAAGATAACTGGATGTAAAGAAGCCTCATGGAGGAAAAAAAAGATGCAGGATCTCGGAGGGGAGACTAGATAAACTTTTCACAGGAAGACAAGATTTGGGGATTTGTTAAGGAATGACTCAAAATCAACACTACATAAAGGGTTACACGCAATTTGGACATTTTTGAGAAGAGATGCCTTGAGACATCAATTGAAGACTCTCAAATTATGGGATTTTCAGCTCTAGCCTGTGCTTGAAAGGAGACTGCCTAATTATTTTAAAAATTATGATGCTTAGGAAAGTGTAAGAAAGGTGGAATATATTAAAGGAAAAGTAGGCAAACAAAAAATGAGAATACCTTTTAGATATAATTGCTCAACCAAGGAAATTAGAGATATTCAATATTTATCTTAATAGTGCTTGCTTTAGAGGACCCAGACATTGTTAATTGCACATCTCTCAATAGAGAAGATCACAGAGATCAAATCTAGAATATTTTGAAAAGACTAGGGACAAGTGCAAACATAAAATTTAAGAAGGAATTTAATTCTAGTGAATATTGCTAATACTACATGTGCTTGAGAAAGAACAGGACAAATTTACAAAGCATTTCAAACTTCTAGAAATTCAGCTTAAGCTAGACCAGGCCCAATAGCTCACGCTTGTAATCCCAGCACTTTGGGAGGCTGAGGCAAGTGGGTCACCTGAGGTCAGGAGTTAGAGACTAGCCTGGCTAACATAGTGAAACCTTGCCTCTATGAAAAATACAAAAATTAGCTGGGCGTGATGGCACGAGCCTGTAATCCCAGCTACTCTGGGGGCTGAGACACGAGTATCACTTGAACCCAGGAGGTGGAAGCTGCACTGAGCCGAGATCGTGCCACTGCACTCCAGCCTGGACAACAAGAGCAAAATTCCATCTCAAAAAGAAAAGAAAAAATTAGCGAGCCAACTCTTTATTCAGTAGGGGATCCTGTCTGCTAAGGAAAAGGTAATGGAAGAGCATATTCGATTCGGCAGAATGCTAGCTAGCCCAACAAGCTGCAAAGCTCAACCCCTTCTTGACCAGAATCAAACCTCACATTTCTACTTCATTTGATCTGACATGAGTATTTTTCTCTCAGGTGTTTTGAGTCTTAGGTCAGAAAGAGTGGTTACCCCTGCACATGACCACTGTGCCAATGTAACACAGCATGTATTACTTCGGGTCTTGACAAAGGGCTCATTTCTAGTGACTGTGTCCTTCTGGCTACCAGGAGACACTTCAGTGCCACAGCCACTCACTGACACTTTAGAGTTGCTGAGAGAATTGTCTGATTGTGGGAAACTAAGAAGCTCACATTTGGTCCCTGGATCATGAGGCCTACCTGTTGAGCACCGAGAAAGCACTGGAAAGAGAAGGGAGGACCCAAAGATTTCTAAACTTGTGCAAATGGGCTAAGACCAATAGTGAGGTTGGGATTTTACACACGTTCAGGATGGTTATCAGACAAAGAAGCCACTGATATACTACCAGTACAATGCAGTTCAAATTACAATAAAAAGTTATGGGATTTTTTTGGGTCAGAAAAGCATATAAGAGAAGAAGTAAAAGAGTACACATGATTCCTATCACCTTTTATCCTCCAAACTAACTCTCATTAACACACAGAAATGTTTTCGTAGGGGGCACAAAGATAGACTGCAACAATCGTGGCCAATATTACGGTAGAGAAGGACCCTGTCCTGTAATGTTCCACATGTTAATGTTACGTGAAAGGGGACAGGGTCATCTCTGTGACAGTATAGTCACGGAAGCCTCTTCCTGCTCAAATAAGTGGCCTTCATTAAAAGAAACACAGAAGAATCTTGTTTCATAAGCTAATGCCGATCATTGAGACAGCAACTGTTTCAGGAACATGAGGGAAGCTGTTGGAATGGGCTTTCCTTTAAACCTAGTCTGATTTCATCCTGCTGATGTGTGGGCTTTAAGTCAGGGCCTGAGAAGGACAGCCTAACTGTGGTCTAAGTCAGAGGGCTCCTCATTCCTCATAAACCAACAAATACATTAATATCATCAGAAAAATTACCGGGGCCTGTGGTGTCCCAAATTCTGACTTCTTTTTCCATTGAAGATCAGAGCATAGAGGAAGGAGATACCTCACTCATGTGCTCTTCTTGTTATCTGCTCACAGTTTCTTTGTTTCATGACTCTGTACCCTGAAAGAGGTTAGTCCTGGATATGCTAAGAGTTTTTTTAAAAAATTCCTGTCCTAGAATATTGTGGCCTTGAATCGAAGTGTTTTCTATATGTTTGTGTTTTCATCTTCCTTCCTAAGCCCTATATCTAGGCTCTGCCTTCTCCATCCACAAATCTCAGGATGCTATGGAGTCTGAAGACACTTGATTGCAGAGATAGCACAAGACCCCCACCCCCACCATCACCACACACACACACACAAACAAACACAGGACCAGAAAGGAGTGGTTACTGCTGATTCTCTAACATTACAAAAATATCACTGTTGTTACTTCTCACCCTGATGGTCATATGTTTCTCTGTCCCTTGACATACTCCCCCGTTTGGGGTGTTGGAGGAGAAATCTCTGTGCCAATAGCAGAGACATGGAGCTAGTGTGTCACATCCACTCTGTGAACAGAAATCTTACTACTATCTATACTCTAAAAAGCAGGCCATTTTCTAGAGTTTCACCCCCTCACCAGAAAGGATTTATTTGTGGATATTGGTTGACTTACTATACCAAGAGACTCAAGTGTTAATCATTAAAAGAACGTGTTTGTGCTTTCTTAGAAGTAACAGGAAGATCACGTTTAACTGGAGAGTGCCTATTGTTGTTTTCAAGGAAGGTCAAAGCTCTCACTTACCCCTGCTCAATCTTCACCTATGCCCAAAGAATCAACATAATTTTGAACCTTACCCTGGAGAAGTGAAAAGGGACCTCGTCCTCCAGAAATGCAGCAGACACTGTGCTATGGCTGGGGGAGTCACAGAGCACAAGAGTATCCACCTCCAGCCCTCATTGGGAATAAAATTAGGACAGTTCTGTCTCTTTCCAGGGCAGCCACCTTGTTCTCTGCATGAGGAGCATGGCAGTCCAGATGCTTCCAGGAGGGATCTGGGGCAAAGCTCTAACTAAGCAACACATTATTTTGATTTTGCATGTCTGGCATATAGGGATGGCCAGTGAGGGGAACAATAAAATTCTTGATATTTCACAAGTGATTTATTGATGTCCAGAATTTGAGGTGCTGATGGCACACCTAAGTGGCAATATGCACCAGGCAGATCAATACATGATGCATCAGAGAAAGCAGAATGGGTGATGTGATGTCCAATGTCACAGAAGCACTGTAGCTAGGAGGGGTGACAGCTAATGGGGGTGTTTAGAGTCTTTGAGTGAACCAACCACATCAAAGAGTAATTGTAATTTATTTCACCCTATCTTCTGTAGCATTCACCTTTGGAGGAAGTTCCTTTGAGCAGGGACAGAGATGGTGATGTCACTGACAGTCCCCCCTTTTATTCTGGGTGAAAGGTCTAGAATCCTCAGCTCCAGTATTCATTCCCACAAAGGTCTCATCTAGGTGAAGGCTCCACCTGCCCCCCACCCCCCACCCCGCCATGGCCACCAGGCTCCTCCGCTGTCTGGTCCTTTGTCTCCTGGGAGAAGGTGAGTCCCCACAAATAAAGCACATGCATTTTTGGATATTGTCAGTTATTTTTCCAATTATGTTTCTTATTCTGTCCCCAAATTCTATGTCTTTTCACAGAGCTCATAGATGCTGGAGTCACCCAGACACCAAGGCACAAGGTGACAGAGATGGGACAAGAAGTAACTATGAGATGTCAGCCAATTTTAGGCCACAATACTATTTTCTGGTACAGACAGACCATGATGCAAGGACTGGAGTTGCTGGTTTACTTACGCAACAAGGCTCCTCTAGATGATTCAGGAATGCCCAAGGATCGATTCTCAGCAGAGATGCCTAATGCATCTTTAGCTACTCTGAAGATCCAGCCCTCAGAACCCAGGGACTCGGCTGTGTATCTTTGTGCCAGTGGTTTGGTCACAGTGCTGCAGAATCGCCTGCTCCCTGTGCAGAAACCCTGGTGCTTTCTCTTCTCCTCCAGTACCCAGCAGCTCTCAGCAGCCTTTCTTGCTCCTCCCCCAGCACAGGAAGTATGTAGGTTTGGTGTTCCACATGTCCCTAGGCAAGGCAAGAACAGGTCATAAGGATGCATCATGTTAGGAAACTTTTGGCAGGAAGTCAGGGGGTGCAATGGTTCCTGGGATTCCTCACATACTTCTCACAAGGGTGCCTGAGACCAGGTTTGAGGGTGAGTGTCACAGACTGGAGCTTTTAAGTGATCGAGTGAGCTTAACACTGTGCAGCCATTGCACATGAATGCTTCTCTCCTTTGCTGCTTTTCATTATGACTTCTCTGCCATTTCTTTTCTCTTCTACCTTAAAACTTTCAACATCTTTGATGACTTCCCACATCAATCTTGGCTTCCCAGTTGTTTCAGTTGCTCACTTCAAATGATCATTTCCTTCACCTTCTTCTCCACTTTCTTTTTCTAGACTTCCAATAACAAATTATTTGAATTACCCCCAAACAGCTTCCTCAAGCCTCCTATTGTCTCATGCAGGCTTCTCCTTTCATCTCTGGTACTATTTCTGCAGCAATTCTTCAACCCCATCAGGACCACTAATTGACTTCTCCTGCAAACATTGCACCATATATCATCTCATGCACTATATTCATTATCCGACTTAGACTATTCTAAGTGTTCTAAGATGATTGTGAAATTCTTGCATATGTCTTCAACTCTCATCTTTTCTTTTTCTGTTTCTTACCTGGAAAGAGACCTTTCTTACCTGAAAGGGCCACTGAGTAGGCCCTTTCAATGACACAGAGAACATAAAATGTCCCTTATGCTTGTCAAACGGTATTATAAGTATAGTGTGTCTTGAGATCTGTAAGTCCCTCTATGCATATAAAATTATATACTTTTCTTCTATTAAAAGAACATGTTACTTTTTAATGAGTTCATCAGTTTCATCTTTCAATTATAGTTATACTTTTGACAATTATAGAAGCACTAAAAAAAGTTATGCACTCAGAATGTATGATCCTATCACTTTTACGCCTGTGTGTGCTTCACTTCATATGTACAAAAAAGTTAAAAGAATGCCAAATAGGCATATTTATCCATTTTCTTGTAGGAATGATAAAGACAAACTTCCAAGGGGAAAATATTTGCAAAATAATCCACGGCACATAAAATTATTTAAGAAAAAAATAAATCAATAAATATCTCTGTTAAGTTTATATATAGTTTTATATGCTTGGGTAAGGAAGAAAAAAGTTGTGATACGTTTTGCTGGTTATTTGGAGAGAGAAAATATAGAAAGAGCAGAAAGAACATGATTAGCCTTGTCTTTGTTTGAAATTTTTCCTTTTTAAATTTGATACACTATTTACCATCAAAATTTAAAACAATATACAGACAAGCTAAAAAGAAAAAGAAATTTACTATGTAAAAAAAAAGCAGGAACTTATAGGCAGAGTATTAAGGGGAAGTTAAAATTATAAAGACCTATAAGCTTTCAGAGCAGTACAGACCTCACAGCTGAAGCTGGGATTTTAATGTCCTTGTGAAAGAGATGACAAAAAAGAGCCAGAATTACATTGTTTGCCTTAATCCTGGAGCTTCAAAATGCTCCCAGGCTTTATAAACTAAAAGTATTATACCCCAAAGATCCAGAAATTGGAAACTGGATGTTTGGTCAGGTCTTTGGGTGACAGATAAAAAGGAAAAGTTAGGAGAGAAAAGTTGAATCTTCAGGCTGTGTCTCACATGTGTTTGGAATGAAATATACTCTGCATGGAATGTACACCATACACCCAAAAACTGACAAAAAGGTCCATAACCATTAAAACCCTTGGGGACCCTGGCATTAAGAAATTCAATACGGTTCTGGAGTAAACTTCTGTTTCCAACCAAGATGGATTAACAGGAATTAGATTTAACTTCTTGCTTGAAACAGCTAACACCCCACCCCCCACCCTGCCCCCCTCCACACACATGTACACACAACACGTGAAACAACGGTTGTCAAGACATTGGAAGTCAGGCAACAGAAGACAATGATCTCTGAGAGATGGAAACAACCAAGCTGAGAACTATGACTGTCTTAATACCTGGAGGGAGTTTCCAGGCCGTGGGCCAGAAAGCAGAATCCAGGCAGAGCTGGGTGACCTCACTGAGCTCAGAGTCAGAGTTGGAAATACAAGATCAAAGCAGCTAGATTTCACATGACAGGGCATTGAAAAGGCGATTGCTGCACAGAGAGAATCCTGGAGACCTTCCTAGGGTCTCTCTTAACCTTTCAGCTGTGCTGTAAGCAGTATATTCAGCTGTGCTGTAAGCAGTATATGTGAGGAAATTCCCAAGGTTGGAGAAGGAGCCACTCAACAAGATTAGGGGAAACAATGCCTGCGCCACAAAGGGCTGAAAGTTATATATATATATATATATATATATATATAGAGAGAGAGAGAGAGAGAGAGAGAGAGAGAGCAGTGAGAATGGGAAACTTAATAATTCATGGGTCAATCAGCAGAGGTTTCAGATGACTTTTGCCTCAGTATTGAAGCAAAACAAGCCCTTCACTAAATTTGGTTCCTGGTCTATGTGGGCAAGACTTCAAAGTATGAAACTGTTTACAAGTAACTCAAGTCTCAGAGCAAAACTGAAGAACATTTCTAACATACAAGAATATCTGTTTGGAGATATCAGTATGAATTTATTGTTTTTAAACATATAGATAAAATGCTAAAGAAATGAATGCATACCTGTGTGAATAATGGGTTGGTGTATATATATACGTATTTCATAGTTCTGTCCACTTAGAAGACCACTAGTGCCCAGATGTTTGTTGCCAAATATTGTTCTCCAATTAAAAAAATGAAAAGTGGTTCTAGGACCCTGAGGTAAAAAATACAAGAATGTTGTAATGAAGTGTGCTCAAAAAAAGAAAAAAAAAAAAAGAAAAAGGATGGGACACATCTCAAAAGGACAGAGGAATCCATCTGAAAGAGCTTCCCCAATGACTAAGGCTGGAACAATTTGTAAAAGAAAATCCGTAAGTTCACACTGAAAATGAAATGATTAAATAAATAAATAAATAATAAAAAATGTGAGATAGGACAATCTCTTACTGAAGAATTCCAGATTGCATATGTAGAAGAAACAGAGGGAAATAGAAAAGTCACTGTGACAACACCACTGTGAGTAGTTGCCACACATAAGACCCAATGACGAGTGCTAAAATTAGTGGGTATAACTTTAAGAAGAAATGGATCATTTGTACAGTTACAAAGTATCGTCCCCAAAATATTAATTAAGATAGTGGTTTTAACATATGCCCATACATTCTTTTATACTCATCCCCCTAGATTCCACTCTCCCGGATTCAGTGGCCTGCCTCTAATGAATAGACAAGGGAAATAGAAAAATGGTAACCAAGTGACCAAAGTTAATAAACGTGACCCGTAATAAGTCTTGTGAACCTCATGTGCATTCTCTTATGATGCAATGTTGTGATGTTATCATGTGACTACATATCTGTAATATTCCTCTCCCAAATCTATAATTCCTGTCTAATAATGAGAAAGCATCAGACAAATCCAAGTTGAATGACATTCTACAAAACACCTGACCAGTAATCTTCAAATGTCAACATCATTAAAAACAAGGAAAGAGGCTGTCACAAATTGAAGAACACTAAGAAGATATGACACCTAAATGTAATATGGGATCCTGGATTAGGTACTAGGGCAGGAAAAGGTCATTATCAGAAAAACTGGGGAAATCTGATTACAGTCTTTAGTTTAGTAAAACTGAACTTGACAACTGTGCCAGTGTCAAATTCACAGTTTGTGTGATGTTAGCACCAGCGGGTGTTGGATGAAGGATCTAAAGTCACTTGGTAGTATTGTTATAGCTACAGGACATCAGTTCTCCAGCTTTGGGTCACCTGAGTCCCTACCAAGCCAATTTGTGAGGCTGCTGTTAGTTGTCCTTACTCCCCAGACTCGGAGCTCTCAGATAGACCTAGAATTCAACCTCTTCTTCTTGACCTCTGCTTCACTGCGTCCTAAACATGGCGGAGTGGAAGGGTAGAGAGGGAGGCTGAGCAGAAGCCTATTATTAAGAAGCCCATCACTAGAGCTTCTCTGATGGTTCTCTGAGACAGGAGCTCCCTCTGTAGTCTCCTTTGTGCACGATCCCAAGCATGCTGGGCCACATAGACTCCACCAAAGCTAGTTTTTATGAGGAGTCAAATATTGAGGCTCCACTGTGAAGAAAACGTCCATGTCAGATTTATGTACAAAAGATTAAAGCTCATGCACTACTATTGCAGGAAAATGATACCTGTGAGAATTTCCAAAAGCCAGATTTTGTATTGTGTGGCTGGCTGAATAATACCCCTCCCCACAAAGACATCCACATCCTGATCCCTGGGATCTGCCTCTGTTACCTTAGATGGCGAGAGTGGACTTTACAGATGTGATGAAGTTAAGGATCTGGAGATAAGGAGATTATTTTGGATGAGCCTGGTGGCCCTTAATGCAATTACATGTGTCCTTATAAGAGAAGCCAGCGGGAGATCAGACAAGAAGGCAATGTGACCATAGGGGAAGAGATTAGAGTGATGTGACCACAAGCCGAGGAGTGAGGCAGCCACTAGAAACAGAGGCAAGGAATGAATCTTCTCCTATATCCTCTAGAGGGAATGTGGTCCTGATGACACCTGGATTTTGGTCCAGTGACACTGATTTTGGACTTTTCCAGAACTGTGAGGATAAATCTCTGCCATTATAAGCCAGCAACTTTGTGATAGTTTTATGGCAGCCACTCAAAATTAATATACTCCAATATGTCCAGTTAACCTGAGACTAGGCCAAGAAACTCATGTCCTCAATATTTTCTGCAAAACTTGCTCTCATGTTTTTATCTGACACCCATCTCAAACTGCAAAGAAAGAAAATAATTTTGAGGCTTTAATGTCCCCCTGTCTGGCGTATGCCTTCCATAGGTTATTGGAAAAGTCAAGTCTCCTTTCAAGATTTTATTCCAGCAGTACCTCCTCTTGAAAGAGTTTTAGGCATTGTATGATGTTCTCAGTGCACATATTAAAAAGAAAAAAGACAAAGACTCATGTCTACTTGATGTTTACATTTTTGCGGGGAGGGAGAGACAGAGGTAAGCAAATAAATAAGGCATTTAGTGTATTAGCAGGTGATACCTGCAATGTAGACAAGAGAAGGCAGACTAACGTGAGGGAGGCCAGGACTGTCAGAGTAAGGAGCGTTGAAATGACAATATATTGTTCAGAGTAGGGCCAATGAGGAAGTGACCTTTGAGCAATGATTTCAAGATGAAAGAAAGAGACGTGTAGGTATCTGGGGGAAAAGCATTCCAGGCAGAGGAAGGAGCCAGTGCAAAGACCCTAAAAAATATTTTAGGATCAGTGAAGAGGCCCATATTACTGAAAATTTAAGGAAGGGAGTGGTAGAGTTTACGTCAGAGAGGTAATGGGGCAGGATGGATCATACAAGACCTCGATGGCCTTAAGTGCTTTGTTGCTTTGTTTCCTTATTCCAAATAAAACTGGGAGCTAGTAGATGATTTGGAGATGAGTGACATGATCTAGCATGTTCTAGAGGGCTGAGTTTGAGAGCTAACTCAGAAGTAGAGTAGAGGACAGTCGACAGTCGACAGTGCTCAGTCGATACAGAACATTTTTAGAGATCACTTCCAGTTGCTGCAATAGGAATACATATTCCTATTTTTTTTTTTTTTTTTTTTGAGACAGAGTCTTGCTCTGTCGCCCAGGCTGGAGTGCAATGGCACAATCTCAGCTCACTGCAACTTCTGCCTCCTGGGTTTAAGCGATTCTCCTGCGTCAGCCTCCCTAGTAGCTTGGATTACCAGCACCCGCCACCACGCCCGGCTAATTGTTGTATTATTAATAGAGACCATGTTTCACCATGTTGGCCAGGCTGATCTTGAACTCCTGACCTCAAGTGATTCAGCCTCCCAAAGTGCTGGGATTACAGGTTTGAGCTACCACGCCCAGCCTTTTGTTCTTTTTGAGACAGGGTTTCATTCTGTCACCCTGGCTGGAGTGCCATGGCAGTGTGATCATGGCTCACCACAGTCTCGACTTCCTGGGCTCAAGCAGTCCTCCTGCCTCAGCCTTCCTAGTAGATGGGACTATAGGTGTACATGACCATACCCAGTTAATTTTTGCATTGTTTGTAGGGACAGGTCTCACTATGTTGCCCAGGCTGGTCCCAAACTTCTTGGCTCAAGTGATCCTCCTGCCTTGGCCTCCCAAAGTGCTGGGATTATAGGCATGAGATACCATGCCTGGCCTGGAATATGTAATTCTTAGTGAGACCTAATGGTATAACACATTCTACTTGGTTCAACTGCCTTCTTTTAACATCTGGATTCCAATATTCTGCTCGTGTTTCAGCCACATTTTTGCAAACAATCCTGAAATTCACTATAATAATAAGTTTCATTTTCCCAGTCTGATTGTTATTTAGAACCTCAAATTATTATTGAACTCATATCCTAATACTGATTATGCAAATGAATACTGAGAAAATATTACAAGTGGGCTTGGATTTTTATTTTTTCAAGTGATTTAAAACCTATTTTCCTTTTCTAATAATCAAGACCCAATTTTTAGACAATCAGTACTCTCTCTTCCTTTGTGGACATGTAATATGAATAGATATATTGTTTCTGTCACAGGCATCACAAACATATCTTGCTTGAAACTTGTCCATCAACTCCTTTAGTATGACAAGAACAAAGATAAATGGATTTCTAAAGCATAGTCACATATTGGACATGAGTTTTTGTTCAAAATTTCAGCTAGAGAACTCTAACAGGTGCCTTTCCTTTTATTGTGTTATGTAATCCAAGGTCATCATAAGTAACTAAATTATCGATTTATTTTTCCACTCTGTAATCTCTTCATTATATTTAAAAATAGCAGCTATGAGGCAAAACAAGTTCTTGGTGGGTACATTGCTTCAACTCCAAAATCTAGCAAGTGGAAGTTTAATTCAGTGCTTTGCCATTTCATACTATAGACACCGAATGTTCTATCCTGTAATGGGCAGACAGTGGCTCTATAGTTCTTTTAGCTCAAGTGGTATCTTTATGTACAATTTTTATAATGTTATTTTATTTGTTAATCTTTCTTAAGGTATGATTGACAGAAAAAAATTGTGTATATTTAAGGTATACAAGGCGATGTTTTGATATACATATACATTGCAAAATGATTACCACACTCAAGCTAATTAACATATCCATCACCTCACAAAGTTACTTTTGTGTTGTATATGTATGGTGAGAATGATCTACTCTCAGAAAATTTCGAGTGTACAATAATCATTAACTATAGTCACTGTGTTTTCCATTAGGTCTCCAGAACTTTTGAGCACACTCCAAAACATCAACTTTTATTCTGATTAAGCCTCAAATATGTCTTCATGTTCCAATTAATAGCTATTTTTAGAGTAGCTATGAATAACGAAGAATACTGGCATAAAAGATGGAAAGAGTAAATGAAGATAAGGGCTCTAAGGTCTTTAGACTTTCCAGGAAGTGATAAAAGCTGCAATTTAAAGTATACACGAAGAAGTCAAGGATGGCAACTCCTATAAACAGCTGATACTTCAAACCTGGAATGTCTAGTGCTAAGCAGCCTGGACCCCGGAACCCAGCACACCTCTCTTTGATGTGATAGGAGGATGACGTGATAGGAGGACCCGGGTCTTCTCCTCCCATGCTGCCCTTGGCCTTTACGTTTTTCTTTTCATCAGTAAAGGTTCTGTCTTAATTATTACCCTATGATAGGAAGTTCATCCTAAGCCTGGACAGGTGAGAGATGGCAACTCTGAAGCAACCCCTGGGCATGACACCACATGAGGCCACACCCAGAACAAATTGCAAGAACTAACGAGGTATTTCATACAGAATCCCTAAGAGAACATGTCTGTCTGGATGTAAATGTCTACAGTCATAAATACACAGCATACGATTGGATAAGATGGAATTGAAAGCCTTTCAGTGCTTCACAGTGCCCATCACTCTCATTGTCCTGAAGTGGTGCTGGCAGTGGGCTCAGCAGGGTGCTGTGAGGATGGTGAGGCTAAATGCATATGATGCTGACCAAGCTGGCTACACAGATGGACCAGACTCACCCTGTGATGGTAGACAGAGCTTACCAATGGGGTTCCATGAATGGACAACAGGCATGCTACTGTAATAATCTCCTCAACCATGATGGAAGTCAGGCAAGACCCAGGCCATGGGAAACTTGAAAACAGTCACCTCTAGCATCAAGTATTTTCTACTGTTTGCCTCACTGTGCCTACAAATGTCATTTATGATACAGTTTCAAATTTTCATGTTTATTAAAATTATTATCAGCCTTATCCAATCTGATATTTTGAATGAAATCATATTAAAACTATATATTAATTTAAGAACTGGTATATTCCTAATAGGGAGTCTTCTATAGGTTCCTAGACCACTAAAATATCATAGATTGCCACCTTAGACTTGAAATGGATGATCCTTATTCATCTCAGTCAGACCAGTGAAAGGTACAGATTCATGGCAGCTAGTCCAGCAAGCTTCCAATAGTCAACTTCTAATCGTCTCCTTTAGGACAAAAAAGAAATGATATGCCTAGGAAGGCCACCATGCAATTGAGTGTATCTGAATCATCCTTACATAATATCATTTCTTACAATGTGTCCTCAACATTCTGCTCTGCGTATATTTCTCCACCATCTCCAAAATACTCTTAGCCCAGTGCTCCTCAAACTTTAATGTGCATGTAAATTATGACCTTGTTAAAATGCAGATTCTAATCCAATCAGTCAGGGTTGGAGCCTAAGATTCCCTGCATTTTGAACGAGAGTCCAAGTGATGCCAAAGCTGCCAGTCTATGACCACACTGAGTGGTCAAGCTCTAGATGACACCTACAATAATTACAGGCATAAGGCCCCTCTTCTCAAGTATCATTTTGCACAGTTCCTGGACTAGGTCAGATACAGACCCTACTTACCACATATATCTCTGTACTACAAATATTATGTAATCAGTTTTCCTAAATCTAGGCACCAATATTTTTAAATATATTTTCATGGTGTAAATAGAAATTAATTTTCTATAGTAAATACACTAAGTACCTAATCACATTCATCCATCTTTAATGTGAGTAGCAAAAAACAAAGGCACTATCTTAATGGTTTTTGAGTGAGACTTTAGCAAATGCTATCTTTATGGAGAAACCTCTAGGCTGCTTTTTAGGATGTGAGAAAAGTGGGGTAAAGGGAGGAGAACTGGATGAACATGGGACAGAGACAGGGATGGGGCAAATATGGGGACACCTGTCTCAAAGAAGCAGCAAATGATATAGAAAATAAATATCTGTTCCATCCCTGTTCCAGACAAGCCCATGTACCTGCAAAGTAGGAAGTTGTGTATCACATTGCAACAAGGAATGATCCTGGCCCTGGTAAAGTCAACAGCAACAGTCATCACAGGCGAATCTGCCTATCAGGGATTGGAGACTCTCTAAACTCCCGCCTCTCAACCCAGGAATCAGAGCCTGAGACAGATAGATGCTTCATTCCTGCATGAGGTGGTATTCCCGCCATGAGTCCTGGGCTTCTCCACTGGATGGCCCTTTGTCTCCTTGGAACAGGTGAGTACTGGGCAGAAAGGAAATCTTTGACTAAAGCTATCTTGTCCTCAGTCTACACCTTTTATTCATAGCAGTAACACTGTTGTCCTTAACTCTGACTCCAAATTTGTCTTCTTTCTCTACAGGTCATGGGGATGTCATGGTCATCCAGAACCCAAGATACCAGGTTACTCAGTTGGGAAAGCCAGTGACCTTGAGTTGTTCTCAGAATCTGAACCATAGAGTCATGTACTGGTACCAGCAGAAGCCAAGTCATGCCCCAAAGCTGCTGTTCCACTACTATGACAAAGAATTTAACAATGAAGCAGACACCCCTGATAACTTCCAATCCAGGAGGCCGAACACTTCTTTCTGCTTTCTTGACATCAGCTCACCAGGCCTGGAGGATGCAGCTGTGTACCTGTGTGCCAGCAGCAAAGACACAGAGCTGCAGTGCTGCCTCCCCTTTGTTCATAAACCTCATTGTTTCCCAGATCCAGGTGCTTTCTCTAGGACTTCACCCCCGCCACCTCTCACAACAATAGGAAGTGGGTTTGTGACTGTCAATATCTCATCTGTAGACAGAGTTGAGCACAAACCAATAAAAACCATTGACAGTTATGCCAAGAATGGAAAAGTGGTTATACATGCCTAACATTCAGTTGGTGGTATTTTCCCAGAATTACATTTAGAACCCATGCTAGCCTTTTCAGAAGATGAATAGGAATTTTTTCTTTCTTTTTTTTCATTGTTTTAATCTAAGTCAGAGGCTTAGAAATATAAGAGGTGATATGTGAAGAATGATGGAGACCCAATGTCGTATAAACTCAAGTCTCTGGCATTCGATTAAGTTTTATAGGATTTCATCCTCCTGGAGAATCCACGTTTTTAGCCCAGACCTGGAGCAACTACCTCATTAATGGGAGAATGAAAGCACAGGGTCCCAGGATAAAAATCTCTCAGAGGAAAAACCACATTGGAGAGGGGAAAAAAAAGAAGACCATACATTAATCTGCTCATATCTGGAGCTGGAGGTACTATTGTGACGACCAAATGGAAATCGTAAATATATAAAGAAATGATGCTGAAAATAGAGTACATTTGGAGATGAAGATCATGGAGCCATCTGTATGGAAGATAGTAACAATGTCATTAAGGTGCATAAGAGTGCCAGCAAAAGTCAATAAGAAAAACTACAGGAGGGAAGAAGATGGAAGATCCTGCTCCCCTTAATGAAGATAAACAAAATGCTGAGTGAGAAATATTGCAACCTCATAAATTGTCACATGGAAGTATATAATTACAAATTACTTGGTAATTAAAATCCCTCAATGAGAATGTATTCTGAGAAAAAAAGCAGAAAATATAGTTATATGGCTATCCAAAAATGCAAAATTTTGCACATTAAATAAAGATAATATAGGAAAAACATGACAAGATCTATTACAAAAGAGCTTTTACAAATTGTTTGCTTTAATGATATTAATGATAATATAATGACGGCTAACATTTACTAAGCACTTAATACATGCTAGACCTTAAGTCTTCTTCACATATATTTATAGTTCATGTAAGTTTTACAACAACCTCAGAAAATTAGTACTATTGTAACCTCACTCATTTAACCATGAGGAAACTGAGACACAGACAAGTAACTAGCCCTTTATCATGTATCTCGTTTGTGATGGAGCCAGGATCAAAATGTAGACAATTTACATCCCAGGCTCATTCTCTTTTCAGAGTTTACATGGATTCTAAGTCAGACTTTCGAATAGGAAGGTAAATGGTTATAAACCGGAAGATTTCCACACTCTCACCAACATTGCCCTCGCTTTTCTTTGGGTCTTGGCCAGAGGGGTGAGCCCTGGTGACTATGCCTCACTGGTGACTAGCACTGAGTTGCACTGAGGACCAACATAGAGTAAGAAGGTCTTTGGGATAAACCTGGGAGGATGAAGGGTAAAAAATGCAGAACTTAAATCTTGATCCCAAGGGATCCTTTGAAGATGAATGAGTCTCCCTTAGAAGGTGAGAAATTAAACATAAACTCTTTAACTTGTAGAGATGTGAGGTGTTTTCCTCAAATAGTAAACTTTGAACCATGGTTATATGCATGGTAGGGAACCTATGAGGGTGGAACATGGATGAAGAAGTGACAGGCTGTGCAGGGACAGGTGCAGGCAGAAAATCAGCTGCCTCCAAGAGTGGTGAGAGAAGCTATAGAGCATCCTTTATCCAGACTAGCCCAACCTGCAGTCCAGAAAGCTGTGAGATACAAGGAAAGGGTCACCATAAACTGCAAGCTGACTATGTCAGAAACGACACTTGGAGTCCGAGAGTGGGTACGTGTGGTGGTATCACAGATATACACCCACCCCCTTCCCGCCCAACCGAGAGAGAAGAGACCTACAGGTTTAGCACTTTCACCACAGGGACTAGAACCCTGGATTTATCTAGAGAAGCTGGCTTAGATCTTTTCATGCTTCTTCCAATTGAACCATACAATTTGGAACCATACTATTTAGAGATGATTGATTAATTTATACAACCTGCATAAAGTGTGTCTTTCCGGAAGAAGCTCAGGTTCAATAAAAATAGATTTCTCTCTTGTCCTTCTCAATCTTCCCTCCCTCCTTCTTTCCTTTCTTCCTGCCTGTCTGGCTTCCTCATTAAGAGTAGACATGAACTAGCCACCTGTATATTCTCTGAGTTATGCTGTTAGTACTGACCACACATTAGTTTAACCTAGAAAAACTAACCCTGTTTTATTTTATCTGAGAGTCTGAGACCCCTCTTTGATCCTTAAAAACTTGCCAATTTCTTGCCAAGCAAACATGTGCAGGGTTTCAGAGAGCTGTAGGTAATAGGGACAAAATAGAAACACCACACAGAATTTGGAGGCAGAGCCTTTAGAGCTCTGAAGCTTGAGGGCCCACTGCTGCTCCAAGCCTGCCTTATAGCACCAGGTTCCTCTGCTGTGAGTCCCTTTGCCTCCTGAGGGCAGTGAGTCCTGGGCATAGATAGCCTGTCTGCCTTGGCCACTAACACTGTAGTCTTTTTCCACACCTTCCTCTGGTAGTCCAATATTCACCCCCATTTTCCTCTCCAGCCCCTGCTCTTATACTCTAGTCCCACAGACTCTGTGGATACCCTGATTACAGAGATAGAAACAGAGGTGACACTCAGATGTGAGTGATGAAACTTACAATGCTGTAAACAAGACTCAGGACTTACACTACCTGTTGATGTTCATTCTTATGTCATTGGTTCAGCAAATATGTATTTAGGAACTCCTGTATAACAGACATTGTTCCAGGTTCTGGAAATAAGGTAATAAACAAGCCAGATAGACTTGTTTTAAACTCCTGGAAGTTATAAACCAAAGAGATGTACATGATGAGAACAATGCCACTCTGGATAAGAAGGAACCTGTTACCTTAACACTGGCCAGTGCAAACCCAGTCTGGCAGACATCTGTATCATCTAGACTTGTGAGGAATCCTACAGCTGTATAGCTCTCTGCATTTAAGGGCAAGCCTAGACAAGACAGAACCTCACTCTCATGAATCCATGCCCTAAGAAAGAGAAGAAACTTCCCTCATAGGAACATGGATGCAGTCTCGCAGTTTTCTCATCAAGTAGGAGAATTCGAACTGCTAAAACTTTGCACCAGAATTTAAGACAAATAAATTGCCTGGGTCATGCATTATTTACAATGCATTTAACTATTTTCCCTAATATAAATCTGTTGATGAACCGCTTATGTGGCATATAAACAGGACTTATATTTAAACGTTAGATGTGGTGCTTTAGAAGATATATTAAAATTATTAGAGTCTGACTTACATTTTCAATAGTAATACAAAATATAAAGTACCACAGCTTGTTCAGAAGAAATGGGATTTCTGAAATCTACCAGAATAGCTTTCTAAAAGCCACTATCTTATGGTCTTTAGTGGGCTAAAATACTTATAATGATGGATTGGAAAAATGGATGTTTGAGTGCATAACGTTCACAAGTGTAAGAAAGAATTGGTACCTCCTAGCTACAGATTGTCGGTTTCAGAGGATGAGAATGAATGTGTCCTCATCCTCATTTTAATTTTGAAAGACAATGCAGATATCCCTACTATGGAATAGTTTATTACATCACCACCTATAGAGATTAACAACACTAGATGTTTCCAAGTCTCTAAGAGGCCGAGAAGTGTTAACCCAAGGTCAGATTCAGGTAATTGATCGTGAGTCATGAATTTTCAGAGATCCCTAGTGATTATTTTTAAATCTTCAGCAGTTACGTCTTTTTCCCTGGGGAGAGGGTATTTAAAGCTCCTTACGCAGCCATTCTGGAACTACCTCTACCCTCCTGCCCCCTGCCCCTAAAACAGTTTACAGAAATAGTTGTCCAGACCGTGGGCTGTAGTTCACCAACTCCTGCTCTAGCCTAATTTTGTCTCATTACTAGAGCATGGACATTCTGTGGATGCTGGTGAAGCCTTTCTGGGGTTTCTCTCCAATGCCTTTTAAAGCTTTTTCCTACACAGATACAGATTACTGTTTAGCCAAAAATTTAAGATAATTCCTCCAGACATCTGGAGTTCTTGTGCAGCTTCCTCCTCTCTGGTGGTCTTTCCTTGAAAATTCTAGCTGCCTCAGCCCCTGCTGATTTTGTAACCTGTTTCCGCAACTCAAACTTTTCCATGCTCTGTTGCTCTGTTCCCCACTGTGTGTGTGCAGAATTGCCCCCATGTTCTGGTGCTTTGGCAGAATCACAGTTCTATGCTGCCTGCTTTCCAGTGGCTGAATACAATTGTTTCGTATATTCTGTTAATTTGTGTTACTTGTATACAGCAGGATGCCAAAGGCAATTGGATTCTATGAAGTGATCACGTCACAGAGAAGCTGCCGATAGAGGTGGAGAGAGCCACACAGAGAGCCGCCTGCCCCTGCTGCCTGCTCTTCCCCTGATTCTGTCATGAGCCCCATATTCACCTACTTCACAATCCTTTGTCTCCTGGCTGCAGGTAAGTCCCTGTTCTGCAATCGTCAGCTCCCTGCTCTAAGCCTTTCATCCATGTCATCAAACTCCCTCACGGGCTCAGTCTCCAACTCCCGTCTGCTTTCTTTACAGGTTCTCCTGGTGAAGAAGTCACCCAGACTCCAAAACATCTTGTCAAAGGGGAAGGACAGAAAGCAAAATTATATTGTGCCCCAATAACAGGACACAGCTATGTTTTTTGGTACCAACAGGTCCTGAGAAAAGAGTTCAAGTTCTTGATTTCCTTCCAGAACAAAAATGTCTTTGATGAAACAGGGATGCCCAAGGAAAGATTTTCAGCTAAGTGCCCCGCAAATTCACCCTGTAGCCTTGAGATCCAGGCTACGAAGCTGAAGGATTCAGCGGTGTATTTTTGTGCCAGCAGCCAATCCACAGTGTTAAATATTAGCTAATCTTAGGGCACAAACTCATCTCAGACCCAGCTCAGGAAGCAGGTGGTGTACTAGGTTGGAAGGAAATAACAGAAACTAGAACTAGCTTAAGCCAAAGGGGAATGTATTATAAGGCTAAATGTATGTCCCATAGAACCACAAAGCAAGAACACAACAACTTCCCCGAAATAAACTGCAGTGAAACCTCAGAACCGGTGGCTTACGCCTGTAATCCCAGCACTTTGGGAGGCTGAGGCGGGCAGATGACGAGCTCAAGAGATCAAGACCATCCTGACTAACACGGTGAAACCCCGTCTGTATTTAAAAAAATAAAAATAAAAATATTAGCCGGGCATGGTGGCAGCAGGCGCCTGTAGTCCCAGCTACTCCAGAGGCTGAGGCAGGAGA